TTTTCAATTTTTGTGTCAGTTTTTTCATTTTTTATCAATATCTTCCATATTTTTTAGGTTAATTTTATGAAATTATTCCTATGAATAATCTTTTCGAACTTTTTTCACCAGGAGATCATGTCCAAAACTTAGAAATTCGAGGATAGTTCCAAAAAATATGTTCTCAACTTAATTTCTCCAAATATAATAGACTTTATTTCGAATATTTTTCCAGTCTTCTATTATTTTCTGGTTAATCTACGTGCCTCTGGTACTTTTTTCAAATTTAAGTGCAAAAATTCCAAGTAGATTTCTTCTATACCGACAATTACAGTTCTAAAAAAATTCTCCACTAAATTTCTCGAAGTATAAGAGACATTTTTTCAAACATTTTTCTAGTTTTCTATCACTCTCAACCCAATCTAGGTGCCTCTGGTATTTTTTTTAAATTTAGGTAAACATTTTTTTAATAGATTTCTATATTATCGACAGTGGACTTTATAGTAATATTAAAATATCAATATATTTTGTTTTATAATAAATTTGACATTTTTTTATTTTATTTTTGTGGATTGGAGATTTATTTGGTTATAATTGCTCATTGGGCTCTGTTTCTTTCTTTGTGAGAAACAATTTTGAATTGGACAATCTTGATGGATTGCAAGGAAGTGCTGGGCTGGTCAAGGATAATGTACGACTTTCCTAGAAGCTAGGTACTTTCTATGACTTTATTTCTTGACCTCAGTATCGATCAAGTCGTGATCGAGCGACATTTTATTCCAAACGGTTACATATATGCCAGTGTATAGAGTGAAGGGTAAAGAGAAAAAGAGATAGAGAAAAAAGGAGCAAATATACTCAAAGAGACAAAGTATTCTCCTGTCAGGACTCTGCGCCTTAGTTTCCCATGCAAAATAAGATAAAATTTCTTTTTTTTTCATTTTTTTATATTATTCTTTTTCAAAGTGTTAATAATACAACTTATTTATAAAACATGAAAATAAAAATAAAAATGTAAATTCATTAATAATTATTTATAACAATTTTTATAACCATTTGCAAAACAATTCTCAGGAAAGTTTTCTTATTGGAGGTTATAAAAGAATTTCGAGATTATTTTCCGATGGAATTGAATTATTATTTGTTAATTGTTTTACTATTTTTACAATGTTCGAATATATTGAGTTACATAATATTGTAGAATATTAATCAGTAAAATGATCAGTGGCAAACACACATTTTTATTTTATTTTTAGTCGACAAGAAAAAAACGTTATTTTTATTGAGTGCTCAAAATTCTTGGAAATCTTGAGTAAATCCCTTGAGCTGTTTTGCAACGTTGTCATTGTCTGATATCAAAAAGCAATTTAATATCCGAACAAACAATGCGAATTATTATTCACGATTTCTTGATACACACCTGCCTTAAATTGTTGCTTTTAAATTGAATATTATGCACTTGGCTTTTTTTTGCAAAGTTGTCATTGACTTGAGAGGTGATTTTATATATTTACATTTTGTTTATAATACTGCTGCGCATGCACTGTGTTTGGTCGGTGAGATATCGTGATTCGTCATCGGAATTTTTTTTTCCACGTGGAAATATATTACTCTAGGCTCTGCACGAACTTTAACCTCGCAGACAATTTTCGATTTACACTATTGTATACATATATCTATATATAAATTATTATTATAATAATATATTAATATCATGTATATATATATAGATATATATTAACCTCTTTCGCGAAACGAAAGCTTTCGAATATAGGTACACGCTCTTTTTCCACGTGGGACCCGCTGTCATGTCGAGGAAGTAGGGATATACTTTCGCACGGTATCTTGTTAGATTAGAGAAAACAATAACCTGATCAGGCTTTTTAGCTTGAACTGAGTTTTTCTTTTCTTTAAATCTGATATTGGCAGTAAAAAAAGCAAAAAATATCGCAAATGCAATAGTAAACATTTTACCTGGATTTCTTATTACACTGAATTTTCATTAAAACAGTCTTTATTTGACCGAATAGCAATTTAAATATTTCGTTTTTAACAATTTAGTTTAGGGGTCGTCCATATACCACGTGGACAGTTTAGGGGGGAGGGGGGGTTCGCCAAAAATCCACGATTTTCCACGAGGGGGGAGGGGGGGGTCAATACAAATGTCCACGTGGACACAAAAGTTTAATTTTATATCTTTTTTTTCTTTATATTCAACTTTATTATTAGATTATTATTAGATTGTGATCAGACAATATTTGTAATCCGAAATTTATTTAACTGTCAAAAAAACGCCAAATTCTTTTTTAATTTATATTACAAAATCATTAGGAATACAAAGCAACCTCTACAAACTCTTACAAATTCTAAAAAAAATAATTTCTATTATTGTTTATGTGAAGGCTCAAAGCTATTGGATTTTAGAAAAATTTTAGATTTGTTACAGAAGAGATTAAGTATTTCTACTAATATAATAATTGAAGATATATTGCTGCCAAAGTCCTCTCTATAATACTAAAAATGGTATTTACCTATTTAATAATATTTTAAGATAATTTAATCTTTATTGAATTTTAAAGAAGTTTGTTATAAAAAAATTTAAAGAATTTTTTAATTGTATTTCTTATTAAATATCTTTTTATTATTCACTATTTTAAAATAAAAAACCCGATTGTCCACGTGGACAATCAGGGGGGGAGGGAGGGGTTTGTCAAAAATCCACGATTGTCCACGAGGGGGGAGGGGGGGGTCAAAAAGTGTCTAAAAAGTGTCCACGTGGTATATGGACGACCCCTTAAAATATATGTTTTCTACTCAATTTCTCTAAATATAAAAGGTTTTATTTAAAATATTTTTTCTATTTTTCTATTATTCTCTACTTAATCTACGTGCCTCTGGTATTTTCTTCAAATTTGAGTGTAAATTTTTAAGTAGATTTCTACATTACCGACAATTACTGTTCTATAAAAATATATTATATTATATATTATATTATATATCTATATCTATTATTCATTATTTATTACTTAATCTACGTGCTTTTGGTATTTTTATCAAATTTGAGTGTAAATTTTCAAGTAGATTTCTACATTACCGACAATTACAGTTCTAAAAGTGAAATTTTCCACTAAATTTGTCCGACTATAAAAAACTTGTTATCTTACCTTTTTTAGTTTTTTTTTTATTGTTTTCTACTTAATCTTCGTGTCTCTGTATTTTATTCAAATTTGAGTGTAAAATTATCAAGTGAATTTCTGTATTAAAATTGCATTAAAGGAAAATTGAGGTAAACGTTAATTTTGTTTAATAGTAAAAAAAATGTTACTTGATAAAAATTTTAGTAAACACTAATTCTATTAAGGCAGTACTGTTTTTACAAATAGATTGTGTCCAAGGATTAGGAACTCGAGAAATAGTTCAAAAAATATGTTCTTCACTCAATTTTTCTAAACATAAAAGACTTTATTTAAAATATTTTTCTATTTTTCTATTATTCTCTACTTAATCTACGTGCCTCTGGTATTTTTTTCAAATTTGAGTGTAAATTTTTAAGTAGATTTCTACATTACCGACAATTACTGTTCTATAAAAATATATTCTCCACTAAATTTCTCCGACTATAAAAAACTTTTTTTTAAATATTTTTTTAGTTTTTTATTGTCCTCTACTTAATCTACGAGCCTCTAGTATTTTTTTTAAATTTGAATGCAAAATTATCAAGTGAATTTCTATATTAAAAAGCATTAAAGGAAAATTGAGGTAAACGTTAATTTTGTTTAATAGTAAAAAAAATGTTACTTGATAAAAATTCTAGTAAACATTAATTCTACTAAGGCGTTTAGTATATAATAATTTTATTAAATAAGAAATGTTCTAAAGAAAAATTCTGCAAAATAATTTTGTTAAAATAATAATTGGAAAATTTCGCCTGGTAAGAGTTTTATAAAATGGAGATTTTGTTTCATCTTCTCCGCCGAGTTCTCTGCTAAATAAAAATGTTTCTCTACTCAAATTCAACCAAATTAAAGTTCTGTTAAATTATTTTTTAAACAAATTTTCAAAAAAATCCTTTCACTGCTATTTACAGTAATATAATATATATATAATTATCATCCCACACACTGTTTCAATTTAAAAGTATTCATAGTTGTTTATTAGCAGCTTATGGATAATTTATAATCGATACCATCTGAAAGTTAATATTTATTGGATTGTGATTACAGACTCGTTAATACTTAATAAATTATTGGTAATAAAAATTCGAAATCACCTCTGATGTGTGTCGCTGCCTATAATAATGAAGAAACAAAATTTATATATTTACTCCTTCATGTAAATTGTTGAAAAAAGTTTATAAACGCGAGAGTCTAGAATTTCTCTATACTGGCAATAGGTTAATTAGATAAAAAAAAATTTTCCAGCTTAATCACTCTCAAGTCATTTGGAGGGTGTGGAGCCTTCTTTTAATATATGAAATCGTGCGTGTCAGCATTTTTTTAAAGTTCATTAGGTTAAATGCTCATTGCATGCCACTAAATCAAAAAAGATCGATCGCAATTATTCATCATTGATTCTTTTTCGCTTATTAAAACAATAAAAATATAGGCACGCCTTTTTTATATTCGACGACCAGAAAATTTACTAGAAATTTTTATGTTTAAATGAAAACTATGCGAAAAAATACCTTTTGGATTTTTTTTTAAATCTAATCCAACTTTTTCTAATTGAATTTAATGAAAACATTTTTTTTCTAAAAGACAAAAAATTAATGTTCGTATTTTAAGGAGAAAAATACTGTCTTAAATTTTGAACTATTTTATTTATTTTTATTTATTGTTTATATGTTGATTTTTTCTTTATTGTTATTTATTTAGTACAAAGGACAATTATTATATTCTAATTATTAATTTTTAAAATTAAATTTTTTTTTAGTTTTCAAATATTTTTTAAATAAATAAAATTTTTAAATATTAGAAGCAATGAATAAAAAAAATTTAACATCATCTTCTGTTTGTTTACAGACGAACGCGATGCCATACAGAAAAAGACGTTTACAAAATGGGTGAACAAGCACTTGAAAAAGGTAAGATGCACAGATTAACTTCTTAATTGGAAATAACGAAGCGAAACAGAAATCGTGATTGTAATTCAGACTTTTAAAACAATATTGTTTTCTGAAGTTATTAATCTTTTTCATACTTTTGAAAGAAATAGAAATTCCGATTTTATTTTTAATATTTCTGATTATTTTATAAAAAAAATTTTATAAAAAAAAATTTTATATGCTTTTTTTAAAATATTTATATTTATACCTTTATAGTACCTCATTTATACCTTTTTTATATATTCATTTATAACCTCCAGTAAACGAAAGTCGAGACACGTGTCATTTACTAAAAAGCCATTATCATGGAAATTTTTCAATAGTCGGTTATGGAAAAAAATAGAATAAATAAAATTGCTAGTAATGAACTTTGTTAATAAAGTTGAGGTTGTAAAATTTATGCGAGAGACTCGTGAAGTATTCATTGAAAATAATTTATTCATTTTTATCGTTTTGATGACAATGTTCTTCTTCTCCTTCATTATAATATGGGAGGTTTACAATTAGTGTGTATAATTATTCTTTTTCTTCTGTATACACAATATCCGAGAACTGCTCGTTTTTTAAGAATATTTTCCTGACGTATAAAATTGAGATCTAGGAATTAATAACAAGTTATCAATTTTTTGTTCGGTGTTGGTTTTTTTTTTTATTAATCGGTGCTAAACAAAAAAGGGAGAAGAGTAGTGAACAAGAGAATTTACTATTTTTCAAGTTTTTATTTCATTAAATTTTCATTCAACTAAATTTTTCTTTGACAGAATTTTGATTTATAAGAAAAAAATATCATTTGACAAAATTTTTACTTCGTTCAATTTTTATTTTGTCCAATTTGTACTAAATCAAATTTTCATAAAGCACAGACATTTTATTTAGAAGAATTTTCATTTGATGGAATTTTAACTATCAAAAGAATTTTTTGGTGCGGAATTTTCATTTTATATGGAATTTTTATTAACAAAATTCTTATTTAGTAGAATATTTGCAACAAAATTATTTTAATATAACGAATTTTCATTTTATTTAGCAAAATTGTCATTACCAAAATTTTTAGTAGAATTATTAATTTTAAAAACTCCGTTTAAGTTGAATTTTAAATTTAAGTGGTTTATCTTTTAATAGAGTTTTTATTTAGCTAAAATTCTATACATAACAAAATACTTATTCAGCACATATTTCATTAATTAGAATTCTTATTAAATACAAATTTCATTAAACAGACTATTACTCAGGGGAATTTGTAAATTTGGGCAAATTCTTCACTTAAATATATATATATTATAGAAAATGAAAACTTCCAAAAAAATCTATTAAACTTCATCGAAAAAATTAATTCTACAGAATTGTTATTTAAAAGTATGAAGAATCTAAATTTTCAAAGATTTTAATTTGAAACCTTTTCAAAATTCAATTATTTCTAAAAGTTCACGCTACAATGCTTTTAATATTCAATTATTATCCAAGATTTTAACTAAAAATCATGTTTAAATCAATTTTTATTAGAAAATTCTACGAGAATTCAATTATTTAAATACAAAAATAAATAATTTATTGAATAAAATTGAATGTTTTTTAAAATTAAATTTTTATAAAGAAATTTGTCAACAAATTTTTATAACTACTTGAATTTTTTTGACAAATTTTAATAAAATTTTTAAGAATAATTACATTTTTCGAGGAATTTGATTAAAATTGAATTAAAAACAATTAAAATTCTGTGATGAGTTTTAATATAATTCTGAAAATATGTAATTAAATTCCTTTAAAAAATGTTATTATTTTTAAAAATAATTGAATCCCTGCAAAAAAATATATTATTTATGAAAATAATCCAATTATTGCGAAGAAATTTATAAAAAATTTAAAAATAATTGAACTCCTCAGAAGGATTTTATTATTTATGAAAAGAATTGAATTCTTTTCAAGAATTTTACTACAATTGTTAAAAATAATTGACTTCCTAAGAAACATTTTATTATTTATGAAATGAATTCAATTTTTGCTATGAATTTTATTAAAATTTTTTTTATAATTGAATTCCCGTGAAAAATTTTATTATGTATGAGAAAATAATTTAATTCTTGTGATGAGTTTTAGAACAATTTTTTAAATAGTTGATTTTTTTCGAAAAATTTGATGAAAATTGTATTTTAATGAATTGAAATTCTCTGAAAATTTTGTTATTTATGAAAATATTTGAATGTTTGCGAAAAATTTTATTTATGAAAATAATTGAAATATTGCAAAGTAATTTATAAAAAATTGTTTAATTAAATTCCTGTGAAACTTTTATTATTTTTGAAAATAATTAAATGTTTGCGTAGAATTTTATCAACAATTTTTTTAAATAATTGAATTCTTTGAGAATTTTATGAAATCTTTTTTAAATAATTAAATACTTTTGAGAATTTTATTATAAAATAGTAGATGTTGAAAATCATCGAATTGAGGAAACTTTTTGAAAATAATTGAAATTTTGCCAAGAATTTTATTAAAATTTTTGAAAATAATTACATTTCGGAAAAGAATTTTATTATTTATAAAGATAATTGTAATTTTTACGAGAATTAAAAATTTTTTTTTAATATTATTGAATTTCTGCGAAGAATTTAATTACTTTTCAAAATAATAGAATTTATGCACTCATTTGTAACTTCTCCAAAATTCAATTTTTCTTAGTATTTTTAACTAAAATTCTTTCATAAATCCATTATTTTTACTAATTATTGAAATATATACATATTAAAGAATTTAACTAATTTTCAGAAGAATTTGAATTATTAAAGTTTTTGTAAAATCTGAGTTCTTTAAAATTTCTAATTAAATTCATTAAAAATTCAAATTTTCTAAAATTTCAAATTGAAAACTTTTGAAGTTCAAGAATTAAGTTATTTAAAAAGAAATGTATTGTTAGAAATAGAGAAAATTGAATGTTTTCTAATAAATTTCGTGGTAATTTCATAATAATTTATGAGGCAAATCCAAAAAGAAACCAAAATTCAGAATTTTCTTATGAATTCTAAAAATTTAATTTTTTTCCAATACTTTTAATATAAAAATTCCTGACTTTTCCCTGAATTCCCTGACCTATGGCAAACCTAATGTAATTTTGTAAGGAAAATTAGCATTGTAATAAAGATTTTGATGCGAGAAATTTAAAGAAATTTACGGACTACGTAAGAAGATAAAAAATATCAATATAATTAATAGAAAAAGTTTGTCAAAAGAAATAATTTGATTTAAAAAAGCTGAAGTTAAAAAAAGTACCTAAAAAAAATGTTTAAAATCCCTTTTTTAACCTGATATTACATGAAGAAATGACTGTGAACCCTGTAAATAAAAGAAATTTTTTGTTGAACTTGAAATTAATTTTCGATAGGATAGTAAGAAGTGTAAGACAAGGATGTAGACGAGGAAAATGATTTATTTATAAGCGCAAATGAATGCTCTTGCTTGGGAGTGAAATGAATCGTTTTCACATAAGATATTCACGCGCTAAATGTTTATAGACTCTTGGGAGGATGATGATCGCGAATCAGCTCCGATTTTCAAAAGGCTTTACGACTTAATCGAGATCTGCTGTGCTCGGGCGCATCGTTATCGCGGTTGTGTGTGTCGTGAGAAGGCAAATGGCTCGATAAGTACTGCGGGAAAAGTCAACGAGTCGCCATGAGATATGTGTGTGGGGAATTAGGATTCAATGTTATCAGCAGGCGCATCTTAAAATCCGATTAGGTGTGAATTATAGGGTGGAATTTCTGCCTGCTTTCAGCTTCAGGCACGGATCGAAAAAATTATTTTCCATTATGCAATACATAATTATTAATTTTCCTCCCCACTATATTATTTACCAAAATTTACATATTATGCTTCAATTTTCAATCTCATTAGATATTCAATATTTTCTCTCTTTCACCTGTACGCGATTTACCGAGTAATCAGAGAATTGCTGAATCCTTTCATTTTTAAATGCAAATTTATTCCATTTCTCTTTATGTAAGTTTCAATAGAATTTTTCTTTTAATTTCTATTTAACAGAATTATCCTTTATGGGAATTTTCATTCTTTATTATAAAATAAAATAAAATTAAAAATTCTCCAGTAAATAAAAACGAAAAACTTAATGAAAACATTTTGATAAAACTTTAGTTTTATTATGAGTTTAGAGAAAATTGACAAAATGAAAAGTTGTATTAGTGAAAAATAAATTTTAATAATAATGTAGATAATGATTTTTGAAGTCCTTGAAAAATAATAATTCGTAAATAAAGATCTTTTTAAAAATTGCAACTTTGAGAATTTTCCAATAAGCTGTTAAGAGAGACAATAGAAAGTGAATTTGTAATGAGGGGATTACGGCCCTGGTCTTGAGGACTGCCGGATAACGATCTTCTCGTTGATTCAACTTGTAAAGAGTTGCTTTTCTGCGGCTCGTTATTCTACTTTGATCCTGTGCAAAACCTGAGAGTCTGTGACTCTAAGTGCCCCCCGTAACAATCTGTGTCCTTTTTTTTCTTTTCGTCGATGAAACCTCACGGTATCATTTTAAATCTGATCCATGATCAGCCAAACACTCTAAACTCACACAAACGATAGAACAGTCGTAAATATCAGATTATTCTTGCTCACAATACAATTGCGCTCTCAAAAAGGTTCAATTTTTCTTATTGCAGTTTAGATTTTTCAGAAACAAAAATTTCCATTCCAAAATATAATATACCTTATTTTTGTTTGAATTCCATAATGTATTTTTGAGGGAATCAGATTTTGGATGGTATGTACAATTTTTTTCAGATACAATTTTTTTAAATACAATTTCAAGATTGCCACAGGTCAGGAAAATTAGGGAAAAGTCAGTGATTTTTTTATTAAAGTACTGGAAAAATTGAATTTTGGAGAAGTTACAAATAATTGCAGAAATTCAATTATTTTTAAAAGTAATAAAATTCTTCGCAGAAATTCAATTATTTTCAAAAATT